ATGGTGTTCTGGAGAGTCCTGTTCATCCTTTCTGCTACGCCTTGCTGCTGGTGAGCGTAGGGAAGAGAGATGAGCCTCTTGATCCCTCTTTCTGCCAAGTACTGCTTGAACCTCTGTGAGGTGTATTCTCCTCCCCCGTCTGACTGGAAGCTTTTTAATTTCACGCCTGATTCTCGTTCTGCGGCTGGGATCCAGGCCTCGAAGGCCATGTCATTGCTCGGTAGGTTGAGCTGCCAAACGTAACGCGTTGCGGCATCGATGAACGTGATGGTGTAACTGTATGCTCCTTGTCCAGGTTCGCGGTTGTACAGGATGTCGCTGTACACTTTCTCGAGTGGTGTGTAAGCTGGTGCGCTGGGATTGTGGTGAGAAGCGAACGGCCGATGTGGTAAGTCAGCTTCGGGGCAGGTAAAGCATGTTCCGCGAGCTCGTCGAAGTTCGTTTCCGTTGGTTAGGAGCAGTGAATCTTTATCGAGCACGTTTGCTCTGATTGTATTGTTTAACACCGTGTTGCTTGGATGTCCCATTCGTGCGATGTCCGGGTGAGCGTCGATATACGTCGGAGTTGGAGTAAAAGCTGGCGGTGAAGTTGGCGCTTCGATGGACTTCCCGTTGAGTTGGGTTCAACTGCTACGCAGGAGTTGGTGAAGTGTCGTCGTCGATTGGAGCCGGTGCAGTTGAAGGACCCGTGATTGGTGCCGATGTTGTTTCTGCTGCTTTCGGTGTTGTCTCTGCTGCTGCCGGTGTTGTCTCTGCTGCTGCCGTTGTTGTCTCTGCTGCTGCTGATGTTGTCTCTGCTGCTGCCGATGTTGTCTCTGTTGCTGCCGATTGCTGAATCGTTGCTAATGCTCTTGTTCGTTCTGCCTCAGGAATGGTGTGCGAGTACCAGAAGCCTTCTGGACTGAAGTCGGGGTCGAGATCCGGTGGGTGTGTCCAGGAGGTGAAGGTGACAATCCCGTCGCTGTCAGCGGTGCCAAGATCTGGGACGAAGTCGAGGACGAAGACGTTGTTTTTCAGGACCGCCTTCCCGATGTAGAGACCGCCCTTCCCGTGGTATAACTTCAACTCCTGAGTGGTGCTATCTGCTTCGAGGTGTATGCCCTTCGCCATCAGTTGACTGACGCTCAGTAAGTTGAAACCGAGCCCTTCTGCTATTAAAACTTTTGACATTTGCAGTATGACGTTTGTCTCTCGTGACTGAAGTTGCACTACGCCTTGTCGTCGTGTGCGCAGGTTCTGATTGTTGGCGACGGTGATGACGACCTCGCGTTGAAGTTGGTGTTCGCGTTGAACAAAGCGTCCTGAAGAGCACATGTGCTGTCCGCAGCAACTGTCCAAGAACCACGTGTCTTTCCCGGACGGCTCGCTTTGAGCGATGGCTGCATACGTCGGATTTGGTTGAAGTGACTCGCGGCGAGGCGTGCTGTTGTCGAGTTGCTCTTCCGGTGAGTAATGGGGTGGTGATTCTGTGATGCAGGAGTCGGTGAGCCGTGCCATGCAACTGACGAAGTTTCTTGTTCCTTGCGCAGGTTGTCCCGTCGATGTTGTTGAGGCTTGTACTTGAGTGGTCGGATTCGCTTGCGTTGAGGCGACTTGACTGCTTGAAGGGCGAAGCGGCCGCTGCGTTGGCGTTGACTGCTGCCGGTTTGGGCAGTGTGTACGGGGGTGACCTGATGTATTACAAAGGTGACACAACGGAGGTACTGGTTTCGGTTGATGCCGATTGTTGTTGTTATTGTAGCGCCGTTGAGTGTGAAATGCGAATTCGGGTACTGATGCCTTCCTCTTGTGTCGTTCTTCTTGCAGGTCCATATCTTGCTGCTCAGCGTGGATCTCGGCGTAGAGTGCTGCTTCTGATATTTTTCCGTGAGCTCGGAGTATGGCACGAGTGGAGCGCCACTGAGGACCGAGGCCGCCGATGATGACTGTGACGATGGCGTCTTATGAAATCGACCCTCCGCACCGAATGAGTTTGTCACGCAATTCTCGACAACGGCTGATATACGCCATTCTCTTTTCGCCTGGTTTCATTTCGACTGTTGTCAGTTGCGCCATTAACCGACTTTGATTGACGCTGTTTGTTGCTTGATACAGGTTCTTCAGGTGGTTGTACGCGAGCTCTGCAGAGTTGCCGTATCCTCGGTAAGACCGTATATTCTGCTGCTGATTCGGAGTGATGTTTCTCAGTAGTATTGTGTACGCCATCATTGACTGATACGTGTACTGCTGTTTGTCGTACTGTGTGCCGTGTGTTGGATATGGCAAGGACTCGTCGAAGATGCCAAGAATCTGCGCGCCTTCCATCATTAGTTCGAATTCGAACGACCAGGTAAAGAAGTCCTTCCCGTCGAAAGGCTTTGACGTTTGCAGTTTTAAGACGTGCGCGAACTGCGACTGAACTTGAAGTGCGTCCAGTGTCTTCTCTTGTCCTAGTGCAGTCTGCGGTTGTGGCATAAAGCTGACGGAGCCGCACTAGGGCTCGTACGGAGCAAATGTAGGTTGCTGCTGTTGATTTCCACGTGCGTAGGATGAGCCGTCGAGGCTCATGGGCGTCACGTCGTTGTTGTTGTTGCTGTTGTTTGACTGCGCAGGTGCCGACAGCTGGTGTTGCTCGTAGAAGGACATGAAGGAGAAGAACTTCTCCATCATGTCTTGGTTGAAGTCTGCAGGCTTATTCGCATGAGTTTTAGTGGACCCTGCTGCTGGTCTTGTCGCCGTGCCCTGCTCTGTCTGTAGGCCAGAGGCAGGAGGTGGAGTGGGGGTAGTGTCGGGAGAACCATTAGAGGAACTCCTCTCCTTCTGAGTAGCCATGCTTTCTCATGTTGTAGGTGTCTTGATTGTGGAATTTGTCCTGACAGCTCTGATACCATGTTGGGCTGAAAAAAAAGGCCCTTAGGAATGAGTGCAACCCTAAACAGAGATGTGGGTACATATGCTAACCCTAATTTGGGTTGTACCCCTTATGAGCTACCCCACTACAGCCTACACAGCACAAGCATTATCATAGTTTGACAGTTCGATACAGTGACGACTCGGGCAACTGCTCAATAGCGAGTCAGTTGTTTGTCCTTGCTGTCGCGCTGTACTTGTCAGGTCAAAGTTCGCTGACCTTTGACTTTCGCGTAACCTCCAGCAGTTGCTCAACCTGCGAGGGTTGACTCGCTGATGCTTCGATATGTTTTGCTTCGTTTCTGACTTGGTGTTTCGACACGACAGAGGCGCTTAAGTTACTTGTTTCCAACACCCTCCTCCCCCTTCCTCCAATTCTTTGCATCCCCAGGTTGAGAGAACCACCCGCGCAAGCATCAATTCTGTTACATTAGCCTCAGAACATCCTCAAGGGCACTGGCATCCCTTCCCACGCCTACCAGCAGCATGGCCTCCAGGGCCCCTCTCCCTTGTGTCTTATCCTGAGGCCCCACGCATTCCAGAATACATACGGTTTATGCCCCAAAGTTTATCACATGGTAATGTCCCAGGCCTTTACATATCAGCTGCAGCAGCCACGTAACTAACAGCGTTCATCACCTGCGCCCCTGGTATGGGACGGCATACCCGCATAGTCAAATTACGGTAGGTCACATCTGCATCTGCGCATGGGCCTACGGCGGTGTCTGTGTCTGTGTCTGTGTCTGCTCTGCACCTTCTGTGTCTATGGCTGTGAATGCTCCTGCGTCTGCCTATGTCTCAGAGCATTCAGTGGCTCTTGAGAGTACCAGCTACGCCAGCCAGGCTGCATTTTCCTTCCCCCGCATGCCACATCATCTGATAATATATACCTGCACGCACCGCCCTGCTCTGCACTGCATCGCATTGCACACAGGCCCCTTCAGAAATCGCCCTTTTTTCACTCCTTACCTCTCCCCTCCTCTCCTCAAGAGGTCTTCTCTTCCCGCTCCAACCTCCGTTGTCCCCCCCAACCTCCTTCTCCCTTTCCCTTCTTTCCCCCCTCCTCCACGCCAGCCACGCGGTGATCCTGTTCCCCCGCACGCCGCGGTGCTGGCCGTAGCACACCGAGAACGCCGCGTGTATCGCATTCCAGCGCACTGCACTGCACTGCACTACACACAGGGCTCGTCCATCAATGCTCCTTCTCGGGTCAGCACGCATCCCTTCCCTCCTCTCCGCTCCCTCCTGCTTCCTCCGCGCCCCACGAAAGCACCGGCTGCGCGAGCCACGCGGCAATCCTGTTCCCCCGCATACCGCGATGGCGGCCGTAGCACTCCCAGAACGCCGCGTGCTTCGCGCGGCACTCCTCCGACTGCCCCCAGATGAGCGCAAGAGACGACTGGTTGCGCATGCACGAGAGCAGCGCCAAATGCTCGTCCGCGCACGCCGCCATCGCCGATTCCTTCTTCGTCGGATCGTAAATCAGCGGTTCTGAATCCTTCTCGCGCCGTCGATTGGTGGTATTGGTACGGGAGGATCCGTCTGCGTGGTGATCGAAGGCTTCCTGGTTGTTTCGTGAGCGATCTGAGCCGATGGGCTGAGCTGGAGGGTTTTCGCGAAGGTTCGTGGAGTCGTCAGCTGGCTCCCGCTGCGATGCCATTGGTCGACAGGCTCTGTCTTCCTATAGGTCGAAGTCAAGGCACTCGCCAAGATTCAAAGTGCACGGAATCTCGAGAGATGCACCCCTGCGCGACGCTGCGCGATGCTGCGCGACACTCCTACAATGTCTGTCCCTGGATCCACACGGCGGACACGACCACTAAATTCAGAACGTTTCCTCCTTACGTGGCGGGAGGTACGGTAGAAGGTTGTGGGAGAATATTCGCGTTACAGACTGCTCGAATGTATATATGTAGTATGTCCCCGCTTAAACCAAGTGAAATTCTTAGAGAACTTCTGAGAAACATCATGTGCTGTCAGCAGGATCAACAGAGAAACCTCTAGCACACTCCAGAACGTTAAAAAAATTAGCAACGCTGTACATGTTACAGATGTTTACAAATAATCCTGATAACCAAGCCTAACCTATCATCCATATAATTTTTCTCGTCTCAAGCCTCCTCCGATTCCTCAACAAGACTCAGCATCGGGCCGTCAGGAGCTCTTAGAGCAGCTACCTGCACACAAAACACACATAACAAACATCTTTGCTGTGAAAATGGGACACTAAGCACACACTCACTTAGCCTTCTTGCATTCCCAATTACAGTAAGTGGATAGTCGTAGATAAAACATAGAATGACATGATGTAGTTTTAGATTGTGCAGGACTCACTCGGCCTTGTGGCATGTGCACCACAGCACCGTCCATCACCGCTCCCAACCGCAGCATGCGCAAGAGAGTGGAATCAAACTCCCCTTCTCCACGCACAGAGAAGGACAGAAGGGGAGAGAAGCCATGAGCTGTGTGCGCTGTGCTGAAAAGGGAAGGGGAAAGAGTGAGACAGGAGGAGGAGGAAAGAAAAGAGTGGTTAATGAAGCGCCTCCCTCTCATCCCTCTCACCCTAACCCATACCCCCCTCCTCAAACCTCCTGTCACATTGCTTCAAGGACTTCCCTCCTTTCCCTCTCGCTCCCCCCCCTCTTCCCATCACTTCCGCCCACGTCCCCCCACCCCATCTCACCTCTTTCATCTCACTTCTTTCCCCAATCCCCCACTCCGCCCCTCCCCTCCCCCCTTTCTCCCGCACAACCCTCCGCCACCTGTCGCATTGCTGCAGAACGATCCGGGTGGGCATTACCACCCCCCACTCCCCCCTCCCCGTCTCCCCCCCTCCTTCCCTCCGTTTCCCTCTCTCTCTCACAACAATCCCACTCCCTTACTCCCCCCATCCCCCCACCTTCTTTCCTCCCCTTCCCCCCAACCCTCCGCCACCTGTCGCATTGCTGCAGCGCGATCCGCGTGGGTCCCGCCTGCACCTCCGCCCATCGTTCTGTGCACACCAACACGGGCAATCCCAGCCCTTCCTTGAAAAAATTCGCTGCCCGCGGCACGTCCCGCTGCAGTAGCAGCACATGGCGCAGCGCCGCTGCTGCTGCTGACCCTGCTCGTCCTGATTGCGCCATGCTGTCAGGGGTAGGGTTACTGGCGAGTTCATGCGAATAGGTTACCTGGCCATTTCGGCGCTCCTCTAGGTAGCGTAAGATTGCTACGAGCTCGCTTGGGGTTGCGACTCTCACTACGGTCTCAAATGCTGTCAAGGTTCGGTTTGACTAAAGCTGGGCATTCGTTCTGCCTGCGGCTTTAGCGACACATGCGGGGAATTTGTCATGTCTGTCAGAGTAGTTTGAAAGTTGTGTAATACTATTAGTCAGATTTATGTTCGTGTATTAGTTGCAACAATGATACGGTGGGGTTGTATTCTTGACAGCTTGTATCGCAGATGAGACTAACGAGTTTAGCGAACCAGCAGATGCGCCTCAGAATCAGGTTCGGACTTTGTGGCATGTAGTGTTTCGATCAGTGATTAGGGCGTGTCCAGCGCGTTCATTTTGGGAAATTTAGTACCGATACACGTTTCGCGAATCAAAAATATCCACCACTGTACCTAGAATTGAGACCAGAAAAATCGAGTCCGAAATGCATGTGAATTCAATCGCGCGGACACAGCCCCCGCCATGTGCATCGGAACTGTACCCAGATAGTGCGGAAACAGGGTTACTAAGTACACTCGTTTTTTCTCGCGTCACAAATTTTGCGCATGAAAAATCTCCCTGCGCGAACGAGAGCCGCGAGCCACTAGCGAAAATGTGCAGGCGATTCAGCGGGGCAATTTCTGTAGAGGGTAGGACGCGCTCATGTACCCTTGTTCGTGTGTATGCAAATTCCAGTTACGTGAGTCTGACGATTCAAGGTGCGTCGAGGGGGCGTGCCCTTTCGTGTACGAAAGCTGACCGTGTCCGAGATTTCTGTAAAAGTCTGTGTAGCATCTCCAAATAGGGTAACCGTTTTAGTTTTTGAACGGTAAATGTACGCGCTGGACACCCCCTTAGTTGGATTGAATTGAAACCAGACAAGGAACATAGAAAACAGGTTCGGTAGTTTTAGGTTAGGAAGAAACAAGTTCAGGATTCATGAAATCTATCCATTACCGAAGTCCTTAGAACTTGTTGCCTTGTCTCATTCCTACAGTTCCTAGCCGTGTGATTTGGCACGGCATTGTCACGCACGTTGTACTTTCAAGGCAGCAATTTTGGACATTTCGGCAGAACGCGACTTTACAGCGCCAATGGCGGAGGAGTTGGCGCCATTGGACGAGACGCTTTCCCCGACAGACGACGGATTTCATGCACACGCGTTAGGCGGCTCCGTTTTCAGCGGCTCGGACGTGGAAGCGCCGGAGCTGGGATCGTTAAATGCGTCGCGGGGACGAGCCGCGGAGCGATCGTCGCGGGGAGGCGGCGCGGGAGGAGCGAAGCGGTTCGGACGGGGCGGGATGGTGATGGCTGTGCTCATGCGCTTACTTGCTATAAACAAGCGGATATTGATCCCGGTGGCGCTCGCCTCGCTAGCTTCGATGCTGATGGGATATGGTATGCCAGCTAGGATCGTTAGGTTGTACACGTGGCAATAGCAAGGTGGTCGATGCGAATGCACATGCACGGCATTGGATGATTGGATGCGATTGGGATCACTTTGGTAGATTTGATCTCCTTCGATTAATCCCACTTGTATCTGAAGCCGCGCAAATGTATCGTGTAACCCTGTCTGTTCTCCCAAACTCCTTCGCTTGTCAGTCGACTCAAAAGAATTTCAGGCATTTCTCTCACAAACTCTTCTCTTCTCCTACCCCCCATTCCCCTTTGTCCCCACCCACCATCCCACTTAATGGGCTGAATAGGCGTCACAAGCGGTACCGTGCTGATCATTATGACCGTTGAGTCGCGTCCAGTATTTTCCTCTTCCCCCCTCATGCTCCCCTTCTGTCTCTGTCCGTGGTAAACAGACATAGGCGTGACCAGTGGTGCTGTGCTGATAGTGCAGCGAACCTACCACCTCAGCATTGCGGATAAGGTGAGTGCGCCGCCACCTGTCAGTCACTGCCACGTCACCTGTACCAGCCACGTCAGCAAGGCAGATAAGGTGATCCACGTGGCCAGTGCCACCACTACAGGTGCCTGTCTGCCACCATAGCATTGAACATCAGGAACACGGTACAAGACACCCCCAAATGAGCAGATTTCCAGTTTCCAGGCAAATCAGCACCCCATATATAAGCAGACTCTCCAACCGCCGTGTTTTGAGACGTCTCAAAACAGACTTCCAGGTTTCAGGCAAATCAGCACCCCATAAATAAGCAGACTCTCCAACCGCCGCCCGCTCTTCCTCCTCCTCCTCCTCCTCCTCCTCCTCCTCCTCCTCCTCCTCCTCCTCCTCCTCCTCCTCCTCCTCCTCCTCCTCCTCCTCCTCCTCCTCCTCCTCTAATTTTAGAAGCTCCAAAAATGTTCTCCCTTCTCTGTTTCAAGTTGGCAGAGAACTCTATCCTCCTGCTTCACCTGTTCTCTCATCTACGCTCCCCACCCCTACTACCCCCATCCAACACCCCCCCCCCCTCTCCCCCCCCTCCTTTGTTGAACATTTCAGGAGCTCTTCATTGGTTCCTTCAGCTTCGCAGCAGCCATCTCCGCCCTCCTCTCTGGTCCGCTTGCAGACTCCTTCGGCCGCCGCCCCCTCCTCCTCCTCTCCTCCCTCCTCTCCTCCCTCGGCTTCCTCACCATGGCCCTCTCTCACACCTTCCCCACCCTCCTCTTCACCCGTATCCTCACCGGTTTCGGCGTAGGCATCGGGATGACAGTCGGCCCTCTCTATTGTGTCGAGCTGGCCCCAGCCGATTCCCGAGGCTCTCTCTCTGCTCTCAGCGAGCTTCTCTCTTCCCTCGGGCTGCTCCTCGGGTATTTAATCTCCTTTCTCCTCTCGCCGTCCCCTAAGTACGACCCCACGTTGGCTGTCGCTGCTGCCGCCGCCGCCGCTGCTACCGACCCTACTGCTGCCACGGCTGCTACCGCAGCTGCGGCAGCGGCGGCGGCGGCGGTAGCAGCGGAAAGCGCGTTTTCGCCTCATAACTGGCGGCTGATGCTGCTGTTTGGAGTGGTACCCGCAGCAGGCTTGGGTCTCGGGGTGTTATGGCTGGGTGTGCCGGAATCCCCACGGTGGCTGGTGCTGGTGGGGAGGGTGAGGGAGGCTGCGGAGGTGCTGCTGGTGCTGGAGGACGGGAGAGAGGTTGAGACGGCTGCGCTGCTTGAAGATATGACCGCTGCTGCTGCTGCTGCTTCTGCCGCCGCCGCTGCTCATGCTGGTGGTTCTGGTGCTGGTGGTGGGAGTGATGATGCAGAAGCAGCAGCGTTGCTAGGAGGGCATGGGGAGGTAGCTTCAGCAGCAACAGCCGGAGGAGGTGGAGGAGCAGGGGGAGCAGGAGGGATGGCAGGTCTACACTCCCTCACACCCACCGCCCCTGCAGGAGCACAGTTCTGGAAGGGTCCAACTGGGGGAGGCTTATCTGGGGGCGGTTTATCTGGGGGTGGTGGAGGGATGGGTTTGCGGAAGGGGGGGATGTTGGGGGGAGGGAAGGGCAGGGGGGTGGGCGTGGGGGTGTGGAGGGAGCTGGTGCGGCCGAATGAGGCGGTGAAGCAGATGCTCATGCTGGCCGTGGGGGCTGCGTTCTACCAGCAGGTACGATGCTCTCTCCACAACCCCCCCTCCCCTGCTGCCTCATCCTCTGCTGATGTGGCCGAATGAGGCGGTGGAGCAGATGCTGAAACTGGCTGTGGGGGCTGCATACTACCAGCAGGTACGATTAGCTCTTGGCTTCCGCTCTAGAATCAAAGGTGGGGGTGCGGAGGGAGCTGCTGCGGCCGAATGAGGCGGTGAAGCAGATGCTCATGCTGGCTGTGGGCGCTGCATTCTACCAGCAGGTACGATGCTCTCTCCACACCCCCACCCACCCTTCCCCCCCCGCCGCCTCATCTGCTGCTGATGCGGCCAAATCAGGCGGTGAAGCAGATGCTCATGCTGGCTGTGGGCGCTGCGGGGGGTTTACCAGCAGGTATGCGGTAGTCAGGCTTCCCAGCCCCCCCAGGCGTCCCATCCCCACAATGTTGGTTTGACTTTTGATAAATTCTCAAAAGTCAAACCAACATAGCTGTGGGCGCTGCGTTTTACCAGCAGGTAATGCAGTAGTCAGGCTTCCCATCCACCCCAGGCGTCCCATCCCCACAATCTCCTACCACTCCCAGGAGGAGTCATTCGCTACCATCAGGCTCACCTCCTATTGAGACGTCTCAAAAGTCAATTTCCTACCACTCCCAGGAGGAGTCATTCGCTACCATCAGGCTCACTTCCTATTGAGACGTCTCAAAAGTCAATTTCCTACCACTCCCAGGAGGAGTCATTCGCTACCATCAGGCTCACCTCCTATTGAGACGTCTCAAAAGTCAATTTCCTACCAATCCCAGGAGGAGTCATTCGCTACCATCAGGCTCACTTCCTATTGAGACGTCTCAAAAGTCAATTTCCTACCACTCCCAGGAGGAGTCATTCGCTACCATCAAGCTCACCTCCTATTGAGACGTCTCAAAAGTCAATTTCCTACCACTTCCAGGAGGAGTCATTCGCTACCATCAGGCTCACCTCCTATTGAGACGTCTCAAAAGTCAATTTCCTACCACTCCCAGGAGGAGTCATTCGCTACCATCAAGCTCACCTCCTATTGAGACGTCTCAAAAGTCAATTTCCTACCACTCCCAGGAGGAGTCATTCGCTACCATCAGGCTCACCTCCTATTGAGACGTCTCAAAAGTCAATTTCCTACCACTCCCAGGAGGAGTCATTCACTACCATCAGGCTCACTTCCTATTGAGACGTCTCAAAAGTCAATTTCCTACCACTTCCAGGAGGAGTCATTCGCTACCATCAGGCTCACCTCCTATTGAGACGTCTCAAAAGTCAATTTCCTACCACTCCCAGGAGGAGTCATTCGCTACCATCAAGCTCACCTCCTATTGAGACGTCTCAAAAGTCAATTTCCTACCACTCCCAGGAGGAGTCATTCGCTACCATCAGGCTCACCTCCTATTGAGACGTCTCAAAAGTCAATTTCCTACCACTCCCAGGAGGAGTCATTCACTACCATCAGGCTCACTTCCTATTGAGACGTCTCAAAAGTCAATTTCCTACCACTCCCAGGAGGAGTCATTCGCTACCATCAAGCTCACCTCCTATTGAGACGTCTCAAAAGTCAATTTCCTACCACTCCCAGGAGGAGTCATTCACTACCATCAGGCTCACTTCCTATTGAGACGTCTCAAAAGTCAATTTCCTACCACTCCCAGGAGGAGTCATTCGCTACCATCAAGCTCACCTCCTATTGAGACGTCTCAAAAGTCAATTTCCTACCATTCCCAGGAGGAGTCATTCGCTACCATCAGGCTCACCTCCTATTGAGACGTCTCAAAAGTCAATTTCCTACCACTCCCAGGAGGAGTCATTCACTACCATCAAGCTCACCTCCTCTGACTTTTCGAAGCGCCTCAAAAGTCGTCCCAGGCGTTCCATCCCCAAAATTCTCTACTACTGCCTGTCTCCTTCCATCTCCCTCACCTTCCCTCTCTCAACTGAACCACCACCAGGCCACAGGCGTCCCCACCATGCTCTATTATACCCCCGAGCACTTCGCCACCATGGGTCTCACCTCCTCTGCTGCCATTCTCTCTGACTCTCTCTATCCTTCTCCCGGCGCTTTCATTCACCAGGCCACAGGCGTCCCCACAATGCTCTACCCCCGAGCTGGTCCCCACCGTGGGCCTCACCTCATCTCACCTCCTCTACTACTGTTCTCTCTGCCTCTCTCTCTTTCCTTCCCCAAATCACCCACCACCAGGCCACAGGCGTCCCCACCATGCTCTACTGTACCCCCGAGCTCTTTGCCACAATGGGCCTCACCTCCTCTTTCCCTTGCTCGCCTTCCTCCCCCCTCTCTCAACTGAACCACCACCAGGCCACAGGCGTCCCCACCATGCTCTACTACACACCTGAGCTCTTTGCCACAATGGGACTCACCTCCTCTGCCGCCATCCTCTCTGCCAGCCTTGCCTTTCTTTGAAGACATCCTTCTCTTTCCCCCTTTCCACACACCCACCAACCACCACCAGGCCACAGGCGTCCCCACTATGCTCTACTACACACCTGAGCTCTTCGCAACGATGGGACTCACCTCCTCTGCTGCCATCCTCTCTGCCAGCCTCGCGGTGGCCCTCGCCCGCACGCTCGCCTCGCTCGTGCCCGTCTCTATTCTGGACGAGATTGGAAGAAGGACTATGCTTCTTATCAGCACAGCAGGTGGGCAACCGTGATCAGGTGTGTGTCAGGTTCACAGCACCACCACCCTCTCGTCCCGCCTTGCTGATCTCTGCCAGCCTCGCCGTGGCCCTCGCTCGCAGGCTCGCCTCGCTCGTCCCCATCGCTCTTCTGGACGAGATTGGGCGACGAACCTTGCTGCTCATCAGCACAGCAGGTGCGTTTCAGCTTATAAGCACATTCAGGTCACAACACGGCTCCCCCTGCCCGCCTTGCTGATCTCTGCCAGCCTCGCGGTGGCCCTCGCTCGTACGCTCGCCTCCCTCGTCCCCATCGCTCTTCTGGACGAGATTGGGAGACGGACACTGCTGCTCATCAGCACAGCAGGTGAGCTTCACACCCCTGCTCTTGCTGCCAGCCTTGCGGTGGCCCTCGCCCGCACGCTCGCCTCGCTCGTGTCCGTCTCTCTTCTGGACGAGATTGGGAGAAGGACGCTGCTGCTCATCAGCACGGCAGGTGAGGCACCAAAAGCAGCACAGCAGGTGGGTTTCAGCTGTCAGTTGTTTCCTCTCTGCCAGCCTCGCGGTGGCCCTTGCTCGCACGCTCGCCTCCCTCGTGCCCCTCTCCATATTGGATGAGACTGGAAGAAGGATACTGCTGCTCATCAGCACAGCAGGCTCATTTCGCTGTATGAACCTCTCACTCACCTCTCTTTCCTTCCCTCCCTCTCCCTCCCAGGCATGACCGTTGCCCTGCTAGCTCAAGCCATAGTCCTCCACACAATGAACCTCGGCGGAGAATTCGACATCTCTTCAGAAAACCCCTCCTCCTCGTCCCCGCTCACTCCTCTCGTCTCCCGCCCATTCCAATCCAACGCCGCTGCTCTTTCCGTGATCGCAGCAGCAAACCTAACTGTGTTCTTTGCGATAGGCCTCTCCCCCATCTCCACTCTCCTCCCTCCGGAGATCTTCCCCCTCCGGTTACGGGCCCAAGGGACCGGGCTTGCTGTGGCAGTCAGCAGGCTGGTTGCGGCGGCTCTTTCCTCGTCGTTTCTGAGCCTTGTTGACGCGACGAGCCCCGGGTTTCCGTTCTTTGTGTTTGCGGTGCTGTCGGCGGCTGCGGTTCCGTTTCTGCATTCCTGTATGCGGGAGACGAGAGGGGTGAAGCTTGAAGGTGCTTCGGCGCTATTTGAGCCGAGTTTGGGCGGCGGAGTGGGGACAGGAGGGGGGATGTGGGGGGGAGGAGGGGTGGGAGGTGCGGCTGGGGCGGGAGAGCAGGGTGCTGTGATGGATGGGCATGGGAGAGCGATTGGGAGGAGGGCAAGGAATGTGGGAGGAGGAGATAGGGCTTCAACCAGTTGACACAGTACCCTTCTATTGTAGATGCAGGTTCTCCAAACGGCAGGCACAAATTTACGGTACTGGTATATCAAAGTTGAAATCTTCTGCTCTGTGACGGCTTGTTTGTTCCGATCACCCCGCGCGCGCTACATTGCAATTGGTGTTGTAGTTGTTGCTTCAATGCGGCCAGGCTCGCCATAAGTAGGATGGGAGGTGTGTCTGACAAGGTGCCATAAAAATATGCCGGTGGCAGAAGTACGGTAAGCTAATGTTTACTCCAACTACTGCACTAAATGAAGGTTCATTACCGTATGTGACTAACTTTTGTAGGGACAACTGCAACACAAGTTACTACACCTATCTTTTATCTCAACTACAATATCTTCATTTGTTTTGAGTGGTCACCTTGTCCACAAAATGTGCCTCAAATTATGAAACTTCCAGCGCACTGACGCATTGGATTGCGCGGTTCGATGTCAAATCTTCCGCGCTCCGATGTCAAATCAACCTAGAACTGTTCATATTTTGTTCATCATGAGCGCACCGATGCTACAAACAAATCGATTGACTTTCGGTTTCTCACATTCCGGTTTCTCCACACAATTACTACACGAATAGGAGCAAACGCCTGTGCTTTCTTCAGTGACTGAATGCTTTTTACTCCAATCGTTTCGTAGGACGCTCGCCCTTAGCTTTTTTGAAGGGTCAGCGCGTCAGATCGCACGACTTGTGCGTCAGCTGGATCAACCATCCACATCTCGCACGCGTCGCAATTGGTGCCAAATTCGGAAGCGCCTCGTAAATTCACACTTGGCTGATATTGTACAGTAATCGGGGGACTGCCCAGTGCCCAGTAATGCACGTTGCAATGCCAACAGTTCATGCCATGGAATGAAGTGAAGACTCCCTCCCTCTCTCCTCTTCCGTCCTTCACCTTTCTTCTATGATCCCATCATCCCTTCACCACACAACAGCCCACGAAGGTAAACACACACGTCACGACACGACTAATGTTGAGAACAGAAACTCCTATGTCAAGTCCGAAATCACTGTCGTCCCGTCGACCGACACCCTGAACCCTCCGTTTTCCAATCTCCACTGCCGCCATCAATGCAAGCTGTCTGCCAAAGCTCTTTCATTCCCCGTGCATTCAAGTCTGTGTGGCAAGTCAAGTCACTCTGGTGTCCACTGCACGCGTCCATACAAAAGCGCACACTGGCGGCAGCTCAGTTCAAACCGTCCCTTGAAGACTTCCTTGCGTGACCTGCACTGCACTCGATCCCACCCAGCCCTCCGTGCGCATGTTGAATACAGTAGTAGCGTCCGTCCTTGGATGTTGTGAATTAATGTGCTGTGAGTCGCCGTCCTTCCGCAGATGCCGCTCCGCGCCCGCCGCGTTTTAGGGTGTCCGTTTGTCCTTACTACTACGATTCGTCGATGGTCCCGAGACCTCGCTCACACGAGGGGGGTTTCGAAACGTCGGCTTCAAATTACACCCGATTCGTAGTCCTCGCACCTGATCTTCATCATGCCACTTGATTCGCCCATTTAGAAGCTGACATCTCTTGCGCCGCTCCACACCACACCCTCATCATCTCGCTCCGTGCTTATTAGCACCTTCCTCACTGCGGCTGTTGCTAAATAGTGAGCTTCTTTTCTGTCCTACTTCCCAAAACAAACATCCGCCGAATCGTGGGCATCTTCTGGTCATCGTTTCGAACGTCCGACGTTCCGCGTAACCCCGACCCCTTGCTTTTCCTTTCAATTTTGAGAGGACTCCCTTTGGCTCTGTTTGACACCCTTGATTACCGCCTCGACGTCCGCGATCGCCCATCATGGACGGAAACCGTTCCGTCATCGTCGTCCTGCCCGACGGTTCCCTCCGTCTATTTCTCCCCGACGGAACTCCATCCGGCTGCGATTCGAGCCCCAATGCTGCCATTTTCGCCGGAATTTCCGCGCGCCGCGTCCTCGCAGACTTCCCCCACCATCTCCTCTCCACCAATCCACCGCATTCCGCGGCGTCAGACCCGGCGGCGCGGCCCTTTACGCCGCTCTCCACCGTATCCTCCGATTCGATCCTCGTTCCGGCTAAGACCTACTACCTTATTGCCGCCGCCGCCGGCGCCCCGGATGATGCTTCCAGCGAGGTGCCTCAAGAATCGTACTTTTCCTCCGAGGCGCTTCGAAGCCACGATCGCGACAACTGTAACGCCTGTGGGCTAAGTGTTAATGGGCATTCCGCTGCGCCAAATAACACCCTCGTTTTGACCCAGTGGGTAGCGAGGTGTTACATTTGGTGTCAGAGCCTAGGGTTCGAAACCCGGCTGGACCACACTTTCCGCCTTTGTCGAGAACTGAAGTGCGGTTGTAACCAGCTCGAACCCAGCGAACGATCCTCCGCTGGCCTGAGCAACCAGCGAAGTCGCAGCTAGCAGCACTGCGAAATCTAGGTCCCAGCGGCAGGGGGCCGACTTCCTGAAGTCCAGGGCCAACGGGGACGTTGGCACCAGGGGGGGACGAGTGTAACGCCTGTGGGCTAAGTGTTAATGGGCATTCCGCTGCGCCAAATAACACCCTCGTTTTGACCCAGTGGGTAGCGAGGTGTTACAACAACGGTTTGCTTTTTTCGATTGATCGCCGTCGCGTCGCGGACGGTTCCGATGCTTCGCCTGATTCGCCGCTGGACGGTTCCCGTGATGCCAGCTGGACGCTCCATGCCGCCGCGCTGAGCTGGCAGGCCAGCGGCGACGACACGATCTCCGCCGAGTCAACTCAAGTCAACGACTTCAAACCGCGGCTGCGCGGCGGCTCGGCGTTGGTGCCATCATCCGCCGAACCGCCACGTCGCGCCGCAAGAGGCTGCGAAGTCGGAGCTCTCGCCGCGGGCGACGGTGGTGACTCGCCAACGGCTGACCCGGTCGCGGCTTGGCTCGACTCTGACACGGAATCCTACACGTCACGTGCTGACGTGGGTACTGAGCGGGTTCTTGAATCGGAGCAGTCTCAGAAGAAGGAAACTGCGGGTTTCGAACCTTCCGCGAACCGAGCCTCAGATTGGACTCGCCGGATAATGGAAGTAGCGCCTCAAGCCATGCTCCAACGCAGCCACAGTTGCACCATGGTAGGCGCTACTGCTGCTACTGCTGCTACCGGTGCTGCTGCCGCTGTTGCTGCTACTCCTGCTGCTACTCCTGCTGCTGCTGCTGCTGCTGCTGCTGCTGCTGCTGCTGCTGCTGCTGCTGCTGCTGCTGCTGCTGCTGCTGCTGCTGCTGCTGCTGCTGCTGCTGCTGGTGCTGCCGGTGCTGCTGCTTCAGACTGGAGGAGTATACTTGCGCCTCAGAAATTGACTCGGATGCCGCCTACAGCCACGCTCCGTCGCAGCCACAGCAGCATGGCAATCGGTGCCATCAGCAGCGCTGGTGCAAGCAGGAGTTACAACGACAGCACCAGCTACAGCCCCTGGGGCGACTGTAGCAGTGGTGGTGTTGGTGGCAGCAGCACGTGCACTGGCACCAGTGGGAGGAACCAAGGACGTGACAGCAGCAGCTACAGCCACTGGGGCGACTATAGCACTGGCAACGGCGGCAATACCAATGGAATGAACCAAGGATGGGACGGCAGCAGCAGCTACAGCCCCTGGGGCGACTATCATTGCAGCTGCAGCAGCAGTGGCAGCTGGAGCAACAATACCAGTTGGAGAAACCATGGGCGAATTAGCGGCAGCAGCTACAGCAGCGTTGTAACAGAGGGTCATAGCAGTGGCCGCTACAGCCTAGACTGCGGGAGTGACACCAACGGCTGTAGCCGTGGCCGCTACAGCCTAGACTGCGGGAGTGACACCAACGGCTGTAGCCGTGGCCGCTACAGCCTTCGGGTGGACGAGGATGCCATCTGGCTGCAGCAACAGCAGGCCTGCTCCCCTCTAAGGCTGCTACAGACGCGCTCGGATGTAGCAGATGCTGCTACAGCCATAGAGGATTCCACGTGGGAAGAAGACAGCGCCTTGAGTGTCGAGGTGAGGACTCATCCGTGTGAAGTGCTTACAAATTTTTCTCTCTCTCTGAGGCTGCTGCATTTATTTTCCCTGTTTATGTATGAGGCACATACAAATTGAATGGAACTCCTCTGTATCCCTCTTCACCTTGCAGATGGCGGTTCTCTGCTACTCCAACCCTCGCAGAGCATCCCTAGACACCCTGGCATCTACAATATCTACAGTATGCACGCCAACTACAGTATCCGCAACATCTACAGTACGCACACTTTCTACAGTATCTGCACTATCTGCAGAATCGTCGGAATCTGCACCACCGTTCACTGTACAAGCAGCCTCGTTTACTGCACAACCACAGCAGTCCCAACCTCGGTTCCTCAAGAAACAGCACTCCGACACTGACCTTCCGCCTTCCCTCTATGGTTCCAGTGCCGCTGCTCCTGCTGCTGCCACATGTGCCCAAAATGGAAAATGTGCCAAAAATGGAAAGGCTGCCAAAAGTGGCAGTTGCTCCACTCAGGTCACTCCTGCCAGTAGCCACACATCTACCACTGGTGCCGGCGAGTGCGCCACTATCGGTGCTGCCGCTTCTGCTGCTGCTGCTGCTTCTGCTTCTGCTTCTGCTGCTGCTGCTTCTGCTTCTGCTTCTGCTGCTGCTGCTTCTGGCGCCTCTGGGAATGCTTCAGTAGCAGGTGGGAAGGGCTCAGCACCACAGAAGCATGGTATGGGATTCATGAGGAGCGTGTCAGGGGGGGTTGGTCGGCTCAACCAGTGGTTCCTGGGTGGACGCGCCCTCGCCTGTGCTACTGGGAATGCTGCTGCTGCTGCTGCCGAGACCTGCTGAGTGTTACCTCCTGCAGCGCTGAAGCATGGTATGGGACTCAGGAGGAGCGTGTCAGGGGGGACCATGGCTGCTGCTGAAACCTGCTGACTGCTTCTGTAGCACTAGCAGTTGGGGTGCCGCATTGAAACATGGCATGGTATGGGACTCAGGAGGAGCGTGTCAGGGGGGGTTGGTCGGCTCAACCAGTGGTTTCGAGGTAGACGCTCTCTCACCACGGCTGCTGGCAATGCTGCTGCTGGGGTTGGGACCTTTTGAGACGTGTCAATTCAACAGTCAAGAGGGGTTGGTTGACTGAACCAGTGGTTTCTAGGCGGACTCTTTCTCACCATGACTGCTGGCGTTGCCACTGCTGCTGCTGCGAAAACCTGCCGAGTGCTGCTGTGTATAATATGCAACTGTATGGTACAGTTGTTTTTTGTCAGAGAAATCTGATTATGCATTTGAATGTCCGTCCGTAGCACAACTTACCATACCGGTATTGTGGAGGCTTTGGTTGAAAATGCGCAACAGCGCACTTCACAGTCCATTTCGTAACATCTGTATCTTGGTACAAGCTACCGGTATTGCCTACTTTACAAGGCCATTCAATGGAGACAAGACAGAGTTTAGAGATGTGAGGCACAAAACAAAAAAATGTAAGCAAAACATTCTTTGTATGCAATGAGGAATTGTGAGCGAGTCATGACTGCTGCATGGGGGCAAAAAGGTTCTTCAGGAGATCCTTCTTGTTCACCTGCCATCCAGCCACGCCAGAGACGAGGGGGATGAGGGATGGATATGCAATGTGAGGAGACAGATTTTTGTGATGCGATGCTGGACTAATGTACATAAGCAAGTCAGGGGAGTCATGACTGCTGCATGGGGGCAAAAAGGTTCTTCAGGAGATCCCTTCTTGTTCACCTGCCATGCCCGAAAATGACAGATGAATATGCAATGCGAGGAGATGGGTGGTGGCGATGCCATGATGTTGCATGGCATGCTGCATGGCATGCTCCTATTGTTGTCTCACCTTGTGTATGGCATTGTGTGACATGCAGAAGGTGCATAGCGAGTGGTGGATGGTGCATGTGATGGTGGTTCAGAATGCGTGTCATGCTCCTGTTGCCGTCTCACCTTCCCCATGGCGTTGCGAGGCATGGTGGCAACGACTCTCAGGCGAGATGGCACCTGGTCGGTTAGGGGGGAAAGCAGGGGAGATGCATGGAATGGCCTGGCATGGTGTGGCATGGTGTGGCATGGTGTGGCATGGTGTGGCATGGTGGCAACCACCCTCAGGCGAGATGGCACCTGGTCAATTAGGGGGGGAAACAGGGAAAATGGGTGCGTCCTGAGTGATGGCAGCATCCTCGCCAGGCGCTGCCTCCCTACTGCCAGGGTCTAGTGAGCATGGCATGACAGCGGCACACAGCAGCAGCGCACAGCAGCAGCACACAGCAGCAGCACACAGCAGCAGCACACAGCAGCAGCACACAGCAGCAGCACACACCAGCAGCGCACCTTATAGTGAGCCATGCGGGGGGCTGCCCATTTCCTCAGCTCGTCCAGAGTGATCACAGGGCATGCATTTTCGCAGGTGTAAGCAACACTTTCCCCAGTAACGCCCTGCTGCTGGTGCTGCTGCTGTGCTGCTCCCAGCACCACCACTGCCGCCACTGCCTCTCCCTGCTGCCTCTCCGGTACTCCCAACACTGCTGCCTCGGATATGAGAGGATGCTGGGAGGGGAAAAGGGGAGATAGGGTGATTGACAGATGGTGATTCTGCTGCTGTGCTGCTCCCAGCACCACCACTGCCGCCACTGCCTCTCCCTGCTGCCTCTCCGGTACTCCCAACACTGCTGCCTCGGATATGAGAGGATGCTGGGAGGGGAAAAGGGGAGATAGGGTGATTGACAGATGGTGATTCTGCTGCTGTGCTGCTCCCAGCACCACCACTGCCGCCACTGCCTCTCCCTGCTGCCTCTCCGGTACTCCCAACACTGCTGCCTCGGATATGAGAGGATGCTGGGAGGGGAAAAGGGGAGATAGGGTGATTGACAGATGGTGATTCTGCTGCTGTGCTGCTCCCAGCACCACCACTGCCGCCACTGCCTCTCCCTGCTGCCTCTCCGGTACTCCCAACACTGCTGCCTCGGATATGAGAGGATGCTGGGGATGCTGCTGCCCCATCACCCCTCATCACCAATCATCATCCCTCATCACCACCCATTGGAAAGCATCTTTGCCGCTCATCACCTCCCATCACCGTTCATCACCTCCCATCACCGCTCATCACCCTTCCCCACATCTCTCACCTCCAGCAGCTTCGACTCAATCTCCAGCGCAGAAACCTTGAAGCCCCTCGTTTTGATTATGTCCACACTCGCCCCTGAGAGAGGGGAGTGTGGGGGAGGGGGGATGGGGAACGGAGTGAGATAAGGAAATAATGCATCCACCAGAGAGGTGGTGAGTGTGAACATAATCAGATCAGAACGAGGTTCCGCATAGGTGGTGGTGACTTATATATTGAGTCGACTCAAACGTTGCATCGACCACCACGTGCTCCATTGAGAGAGAAAGTGCATGCATGCATGCACACATGCACACACATAATCGACACGTGTCACACGAGCATACCATGCACATAAATAATACACACGTGCACGCTACAAACATGCTAGACAACGGTACTCACTCCCATGCTCTGCCAAAACCCATTGCTGTGCACCGATGCAATATACATTCACCCACGCACTCACACGCTCATGCACCCACGCACACATTGCGTACGCAACATACATTCTTCCCATGCGACTACCCACTCCCATGGATATGCCAGTACCCATGGCTGTCCACTGGTGCAATATCACAGGCCCAGACACGTAATGACACACCGACACATATGTACTGCACATATAAGTACGGCACACTTGGTGAAACAACACTCACTGCCGTGGATCTGCCAGTACCCATGGCTGTCCACCGATGCAATATCGCCCGTCCGGAACCACCCCTGTGGGTCAAACGCCTCTGCTGTCTCCTGAGCAATGACAGGCGTTGAGAGGTAATGAGAGGTAATGAGAGGTAATGAGAGGCAATGCTCGGGAATGGGAGCGAGAAGGGCGAAGGAAAGGTGGGGGGGCGGGCACCAATGCGGAACCACCCCTGCGGATCGAACGCCTCTGCTGTCTCCTGAGCAATGACAGGCGTTGAGAGGTAATGGAAGGCGTTGAGAGGTAATGAGCGGGAATGAGCGGGAATGGGAGCGAGAAGGGTGACGGAAAGGGGGGGGGGAAAGCACCAATGCGGAACCACCCCTGTGGATCGAACGCCTCTGTTGTTTCCTGGGAGGGTGGGGGCAGTGAGAGGGAATTAGAGGGAATGGGAGGGAATGAGAGGCAATGAGAGGGAATGAGAGGCGATGAGCGGTAATGAGATGGAATGAGAGGAAATGAGTGATAATGCACTCACCACTCACACCATGCACTCAACACACCTTGGGTCGGTTCCAGTATCGCAGGACCATGCCAGGGCTCTTCACCAGTAGCTCTCCCCACCCCCCACTCCACGTCCCACTGCTGCTGCTGCTGCTGGGACTGGTGCTGCTCCTTCCTTACTCATGCCACCATTACAAGAACACACACCATGCATTCAGCTCAGCCCACCTGGGGTCGGTTCCAGTATCGCAGGACCATGCCAGGGCTCTTCACCAGCAGCTCTCCCCACCCCCCAGCCCACGCGCTGGTACTGCCTTCCATGTGCAATCAACAACACATATTGGGTCTGTTCTAACAACACTGCATGCACTCGTCGCACCTGGAGTCGGTTCCAGTATCGCAGAAACATGCCAGGACTCTTCACCAGCAGCTCTCCCCAACCCCCACTGCATGTGCTGCTGTTGCCAGCACTGCTGTTGCTGGCACTGCTACTCAACTCAACACACCACTATACACACACCATGCACTCAACTCAACCCACCTGAGGTCGGTTCCAGTATCGCAGGAACATGCCAGGGCTTTTCACCAGTAGCTCTCCCCACCCCCCGCTCCACGTGCCACCATTGCTGCTGCTGCCACTGCTGCTGACAACACTGCTGCGACCACCACTGCTGCTGCCAGTGCTGCCGCTGCTGCTGAATGCCCCGGGAGCAGACAAGTGACCCAGCATGGCTCGTGCAGTGCCAGTGCTGCTGCTGCTCCTGCTGCTGCTGTGCCGATCCTTTGCAGTGTCTGCTAGTTTCACCTGATAAGCAGAAGGGAAGGGCAAAGAGACGTTTCAACACATGATTGCTGTGCCTTCTACTTTCACATGAAGGGAGGTACGGAGGCGACTTTTGAGGCGCCTCAAAAGGCAAAGAGACGTGTCAACACACGGCTGCTGTCTCTCTCTTCTTTCACATGAAGAGAGGTACGGAGGGCGTTTTGTTGACTGCAATTGGCCAAGGCTCACCACATTTGACCACATTTGACCACGTTTGACCACAGCTGACAAACGTTGACCACAGTTGACCACATTTATCGCTGTCAGACCAACTTTATATGCTCACCTTAACCCCTCTGAGTGGCACGCCCACTGAGCCTGATTTCTTCTCTCCCAGCAACGGATTGGTGAGGGCCATTGCGAACTGGAGAGATGGGAGGAGGGGCGGAGGTGGCAAAGGGATGGTGAGAGACTTATTCCCATCAGCATGCCCACCGATCCTGACTTCTTCTCTCCCAGCAGAGGATTGGTTAGGGCCATGGCGAACTGCAGAGATGGGAGGAGGGGCGGAGGTGACAGAGGGATGGTGAGAGACTTATTCCCATCAGCATGCCCACCGATCCTGACTTCTTCTCTCCCAGCAGAGGATTGGTTAGGGCCATGGCGAACTGGAGAGATAGGTTGGGAAGCAATGGGAGGTGAGGGGAAGCGAGGAGAGGAGAGGAGGGGAGCAAGAGTGGAAGGTAAGGGCATGCATACTCGCTCCCAGCAGGGAATTGGTGAGTGCCATTGCGAACTGTACTGACGGGAGGAGGAGGAGCAACAAGGAGACGAGGGAAGGGTGGGAGCGGGGAAAAGAAACAAAAAGAGAGAACGACATAAAGAGGTATTGGAGGCGTGCTCTCCACCTCGCCTCACAGCCCTCCCCAACTGACTCACCTCAGTCATCCCATATCTCTTTCACCCCTCACCTCGCCCCCTCACCCCCTCACCTCTGTCATCCCGTATCGCTCCAGCAGCCTTTGCCCTGTGACCTGGTGCCATCGCCGCATGAGCTCGTCCGGGCACGCGGCAGAGCCGCTCATCTGAGGGTGGAGGTGAAGGGCATGAGGGGAGGAGGTGAGGGAGGGAAAATGCGGGAAGCGAGTTTGGGAGGCAGTAATGTGTGAGGCACTACGGCAGCCTCTGCTGCCCTGTGACTTGGTGCCATCGCCGCATGAGCTCGTCAGGGCACAAGGCAGAACCGCTCATCTGATGGTGAATGAGAAGGGGCGAAAGGGAGGCAGTGATGTGTGAAGGCAGTGACGTGTGAAGGCAGTGATGTGTGAAGGCAGTGATGTGTGAAGGCAGTGATGTGTGAAGGCAGTGATGTGTGAAGCACCAAGGCAGCATCTGCCCCGTTGCTTGGTGAAGGAGATCAGGAGAGGGGTACCAAGGGGTGAGCGACGCACAGGGGAGGAGTGCCCCCCCTTTCCACCACTCTAAGTCCCCAACCCACCATGAGCCGCAGCTTGCTGGCAGCAAGGGCAGACTTCCGCTGCAGCTGCAGGGGCATGCCCTCTGCAGGGGCATGCGGCCTTCTCCTCAGATTCCCAATTTACCCAATGCCCCATGCCCCATGCAATCACACTAGATCTTTCCTTCCCATGTCCCCACCAAGGTGACTTTTGAGTCGACTCAAAAGTCTCCTCATATTCCCAGTTCACCCCATTCACCCAATTCACCCAATTCACCCAATTTACCCAATGCCATCACACTAGATCTTTCCTTGCCATGTCCCCCTTTTCACCATCCCCACATTTCGAACCCACCATGAGCCGCAGCTTGCTGGCGGCTAGAGCAGATTTCCGCTGCAGCTGCAGGGGCATGCGGTCAAACTCCTGTAGCAGGCGCATGTAGTGGGTTGGTACCCCGGTGAAGAAGGTGATTGAGTCAGGCTGGGCACAGCGACCATCGGGGTAGCTTTCTCGCCATCGTTGCCACACGGCTGCTGCGCTGAAGCGATGGCTGGGGAAGAACTCGACCTGAAAGGGATGGGAGCAATGGGTGTGAAAGAAGGGCTCGGGGGAGTGCTGATGACATGCACTCCTGTAGCAGGCGCATGTAGTGGGTTGGTACCCCGGTGAAGAAGGTGATGGAGTCGGGCTGGGCGCACCGGCCGTCGGGGTAGCTTTCTCGCCACCGCTGCCACACGGCTGCTGCGCTGAAGCGATGGTTGGGGAGGAATTCGACCTGTAACGGGGGCATGGGGCGCGATAGAAGGGGTTAGAGCCGGTGGGAAGAGGTGGGAAGAGGTGGGAAGAGGTGGGAAGAGGTGGCGAGGTGGCATGTGCTCCCATCGGGGTAGCTCTCTCTCCACCGCTGCCACACGGCTGCTGTGCTGAAGTGGTGGCTGGGGAAAAACTCGACCTGCGAGAGGAGAGTGAGGTGAGGGAGGGTGCAGTGAAAAGGTTACGTGATGGTGCAGCGACCATCGGGGTAGCTTTCTCGCCACCGCTGCCACACGGCTGCTGCGCTGAAGCGGTGGTTGGGGAGGAACTCGACCTGAAAGTGATGGGAGAAAGGGGCGTGAAGGGGTGTGCAAGGGGGTGGAGAGCGGTGATGCAACGGCACATGCGCCCCTCTCTCCCGCCAGCGCTGCCACACTGCTGCTGCGCTGAAGCGATGGCTGGGGAGGAACTCGACCTGAAAGTGATGGGAGAAAGGGGCGTGAAGGGGTGTGCAAGGGGGTGGAGAGCGGTGATGCAACGGCACATGCGCCCCTCTCTCCCGCCAGCGCTGCCACACTGCTGCTGCGCTGAAGCGATGGCTGGGGAGGAACTCGACCTGAAAGTGATGGGAGAAAGGGGCGTGAAGGGGTGTGCAAGGGGGTGGAGAGCAGTGATGCAACGGCACATGCGCCCCTCTCTCCCGCCAGCGCTGCCACACTGCTGCTGCGCTGAAGCGATGGCTGGGGAGGAACTCGACCTAGGAGAAAGGGAGAGAGGAGGGGTTTGCACGGGGGTAGAGAGGGGTGATGTAATGACATGCCAGTAGGGAGATGGTGAGGTGACATGTACTCCCGTCGGGGTAGCTCTCCTTTCTCTCCAGCGCTGCCACACTGCTGCTGCGCTGAAGCGATGGCTGGGGAGGAACTCGACCTAGGAGAAAGGGAGAGAGGAGGGGTTTGCACGGGGGTAGAGAGGGGTGATGTAATGACATGCCAGTAGGGAGAGATGGTGAGGTGACATGTACTCCCGTCGGGGTAGCTCTCCTTTCTCTCCAGCGCTGCCACACAGCCGCTGCACTGAAGCGATGGTTGGGGAGGAACTCGACCTGGGAGGGACGGGAGGAAGGGGCGAGAAAGTGACATGCACTCCTGCAGCAGCCGCACGTAGTGGCTTGGCTTGGCACCCCGGTGAAGAATGTGATGGAGTCTGGCTGCGTAAACATTCCCCATATAAAAACCGCGTGAACTTAGACGATTTTTGAGGCGCCTCAAAAGTGGCTTGGCTTGGCACCCCGGTGAAGAATGTGATGGAGTCTGGCTGCGCGCAGCGCACCTCCCGTCGGGGTAGCTCTCTCGCCACCGCTGCCACACAGCTGCTGCGCTGAAGCGGTGGCTGGGGAGAAACTCGGCCTGGGAGGGAAGAGAGCAAGGGTGTGAAGCGGTGGAGAGTGGTGATGCAGTGACACATGCACCCCTCTCTCCCTCCACCGCTGCCACATGGCTGCTGCGCTGAATCGGTGGCTTGGGAGGAGCTCGACCTGAGGGGAAAAGGAGGGGGGGTAGAGGGAGGTGGTGTGTAATGGCATACACTCCCCCCGGAATTGCTCGCTCTCTCCATGGCTCTGATTGGTGAACAGCGCTGTTACCATCATATGAGAGCATTTGGCCGAGTGGTTAAGGCGTGTGCCTGCTAAGTGCATGGGCTCTGCCCGCGAGAGTTCGAGTCTCTCAGTGCTCGTTGCTGTTAGATTTTGTTGTTTGTGATCATTGCTTTGTTCACCTTTTTGTTTCCCAAGCGATGGCTTGGGACGAACTTTTGCGGGGCAAGGGGATGGGGGGAACTCTACCAGAAATGGATGGGAGCACGGGGCGAGAAAGAGGGAGAGGCAGAGAGGGTGGTCGTGTTATGACAACTGCACTCCCGTCGGGGTAGCTTTCTCTCCACCGCTGCCACACGGCTGCTGCGCTGAAGCGGTGGCTTGGGAGGAACTCGACCTGTGTGGGAAAGGGAGCAAGGGGGCCTGAAGGGATGCGCAAGGGGGTGGAGTGTATAGCAGTAATGCAACAACACATGCACCCCTCCCTCTCTCCCGCCACCGCTGCCACACGGCTGCTGCGCTGAAGCGATGGCTTGGGAGGAACTCGACCTGTGGGGAAGAGAAGTGTGTGTGAGGTGAAACAGTTAGCCGCGACTGGCGACAGTTAGCCCCTCTCGCCAGCACTGCCACACGGCTGCTGCGCTGAAGCGGTGGCTGGGGAGAGACTGGACCTGTGTGGGATGGGAGCAAGGGGTGAGATAGAAGGGGTGGTTTTGGGCTGCTAGGGAGAGGTGTCACTCTCACGGCAGGTTAGCTCTCCCGCCAGCGCTGCCACACGGCTGCTGCGCTGACGCGGTGGCTTGGGAGCATTCAGCAGAGCGTTCACAATGACATGCGCATGTGCTCGGGATTAAAAGACATTCCAGCGGGCAGCAGTTTAAGGGAGAAGGTTTAGCAAAGGAGAGAACAGTTGTAGTAAAATCCTAGCTGATTCACGTAGGGTTCTGTAGAAACGAAGCTCTTCACTAATCAGTGGCTAAAACGCGGACAAACATGTTTCGGCTGTAGGGAAGCCCCTAGCAAGCCTTCATCATTGCCGAATGGCTTGGGAGCATTCAGCAGAGCGTTCATAATGCCATGCACATGTGCTCGGGGGAGGTGAGAGAGAGAGAGACAGCCCGAACACACCGGAGCAGCGCCAAGAGCATACATACACACACATAGGTGCAGAGCGGTGGAGTGCATTGTAGCACACACTCACCGTGGCACCAGCGGACAGAGGGCTCAGCAGAGCGTTCATGATGCCATGCACATGTGCTCGGGGTGACAGCCCGCCAGAAGAACACAAGGACGGGTAGGAGGGTTGGTTTTAAGTTTCAATGTACGCGTAGAGGGGAGTGAGGAAATAGAGACAGTGGAGGAAGAAGAAGAAGGGGGGGAAGGAAGATTACGCGCGTGGAAGGGGGATGAGGGAGAAGAGAGTGACGGAAAGGAGAGTGAAGAATAGCGAGTGTGCAGGAAGAGGGAAGGGCGAGGGGGTAGAGGAGAGGGAGGGGGTGGGGGATGACGGTTAAGGAAAATCAATGCTGCGATGCATGCAGTTCAATAAAGGCAAACGCAAACCTCCTTACAAGGCAACCCAGAACAAGGAGAGAACCTTCAAGATTAGGAATGAAAGTTCATTCACATGTGGCATACAGAAAGACAACCTTGTTGTGAGGTGTAAGGGAAAGGGCAAGGGAGGTGGTGCGTGGCAGGGAGAGAGGAGCAGGGGGAAGTGTGGATGGGTGGATATGGTGCAGCGGCAGCACAAGTAGAGAAGGGATAGAGGAGTATGAGACAGGTGGAGAAAGGGCAAGGGCAATGGAGGCGGTGCGGCAGGAGAAAGAGGGGATGGAAAGGTGCGTGTGGGCGGATATGGTGCAGAGGCAGCACGTTGAGCACTCGGTCCGATGGAGAGAAGTCCCACGCGTCCACTAGCATGCCGGCCTGTAGGGGTGAGATGAGAGTGGAGTAGGGGAATGAGCACTCGGTAGCGTTAAGTCAATCAGATATGGTGCAGCGGCAGCACGTTGAGCACTCGGTCCGATGGGGAGAAGTCCCACGCGTCCACTAGCATGCCGGCCTGTAGGGGTGAGATGAGAGTGGAGTAGGGGAATGAGCACTCGGTAGCGTTAAGTCAATCAGATATGGTGCAGCGGCAGCACGTTGAGCACTCGGTCCGATGGGGAGAAGTCCCACGCGTCCACTAGCATGCCGGCCTGTAGGGGTGAGATGAGAGTGGAGTAGGGGAATGAGCACTCGGTAGCGTTAAGTCAATCAGATATGGTGCAGCGGCAGCACGTTGAGCACTCGGTCCGATGGAGAGAAGTCCCACGCGTCCACTAGCATGCCCGCCTGCGGAGGAAAGGGGGGGAAAGAAGGCGACAAGAGGGGGGGATGGAGAGTCGGTAGCATTAAGTTAAGCAGATATGGTGCAGAGAAAGACGTCCCACGCGCATTGAACATTTGATCCGAGAAGCCCACCAGCATATGCTTTTTGAGAATTCTAAAAAAACATCCGAGAGGGAGAAGTCCACCAGCATTCGATTGGAGAGAAAGAAGTTATATGCGCCCACCAGCATGCCAGCCCTGCGGGTGAGATGAACAATTTTAGCAGATATACAAGAAAATGAAGAAGTGTTTTGAGACGTCTCAAACCACTTTTTGAGACGTCTCAAAACACTTCTTCAATCAAGAAGTTACACGCGCCCACCACCAGCATGCCAGCCCTGCGGGTGAGATGAACAATTTTAGCAAATATACATAGAAAATGCGCAGGCCTTTTTAGTATAGTCTGTCAGAGGGTTGCCAAGATGAGCAGAAGAATGGTTTTCCTTCGTTTGCCTTGAGAATCTCTGATATCGGAGAACTATCAGGTGAAATGCTTCAGGTGAAAACAAAGATGATGAATATCAGAAAGATTTCCCTTGCAAGGCATCTCAAAGCGCTTACCATGTGGACAGAGGACTTGCGCTTTTACCTTGAAAGATTTCCCTTGAAAGATTTCCCTTGGAAGATTTCCCTTGAAAGATTTCCCTTGGAAGATTTACCATGTGGACAGAGGACTTGCTCTTTTACCTTGAAAGATTTCCCTTGAAAGACTTGCTCTTTTACCTTGAAAGATTTCCCTTGAAAGACTTGCTCTTTTACCAACACAACGACTTTCGAGGCACCTCAAAAGGTTTCTCAGAGCACTTACCGTGTGGACTGAGGACTTGCTCAGGGTTTACCTGGGAGGCGAGGCCTATATGTGAGTGCACCACTCCCTTGGGTCGACCCGTGGTGCCACTTGTGTACACTATCAGGGCAGCTGATAACGGGGATGAGAGGAGGGAATAGGGAGAGGAGTGGGGGATTGGGTAAAGATGGTTGAGGGAAAAGCGAGGGGGAAAGAGGGAGGGAAGATGGGGGAGAGGGAGGGAAGAGGGGGGAGAGGAGAGGGGGAAGAGGGGGTGGGTCAATAGCCTCTCTTATGCGAGAAAGGCACGTTCTTTCTAACATACAAGCCCACAGCCCTACCCATCTCATCCCCCCACCTAACACAGCACCACACAGCACCCCTCGGCACCCCACAGAAATCATACCGCACCCCACCTGCATGTAAGAAGGGTACGTTCTTCAAGACTTCAATCCACAACACCCCACAGCACCCCACAGCACCCCACAGCACCCACCTGCATGCGAGAAGGGCACGTTCTTCAAGGCTTCGATGCCCGCCTTCTCCTCATCCGCATTCCTCTCCTCCAATTCTTTACCCTCCAGCGGGTCAGATGCGAGCACTTATGATGCAAATGCGGAATGCTCACAGCACCCCACGGCACCCCTCAGCAACCCACAGCACCCCACAGCACCCCACAACACCCCACAGCACCCCATAGCACCCCACAGCACCCACCTGCATGCGAGAAGGGAACGTTCTTCAAGGCTTCTATCCCCGCCTTCTCCTCATCCGCGTCCCTCTCCTCCACCCGCCAACCCATAATACCAGGTCCCTCTCCACCACACAGCACCATACAGCACCCACCTGCATGCGAGAAGGGCACGTTCTTCAAGGCTTCTATCCCCGCCTTCTCCTCATCCGCGTCCCTCTCCTCCAACTCTTTGCCCTCCAGCGGGTCAGATGGGACAAACGCCGCCGCCACTTCCGCTGCCAGCGGCGCCAAAACCGGGCGGCTGGACTCTGGCCCCACGACTAAACAAGCGCCCTGAGATGAGTGGAGTGGCGGGGGAGGAAAAGTTCAAGGTGGGGAAAAGCGAAGGTGAGACGGCACAACCAAGCAGCCGCCGGACCCTGGCCCCACAACCACACAAGCGCCCTGAGATGAGCGGGATGGCGGGGGGCGGAAAAGTGCAATGTGGGGAAAAGTGCAGGAGAGAGTGGTTTACTTTTTGGGAGGGTTCAGAGCAGAAGTGAAAACCATGCAGCAGGTCTCCGGCCCCACAACCACACAAGCGCCCTGAGATGCGTGGGGTGGCAGGTGGGGAAATGTGCTAATTAGAGGGCCCCGTATGAAGCCGCCGCCAAAACCGGGCGGCAGGTCTTAGGCCCCACAACCGAGGAAGCGCCCTGAGATGAGCGGGTTGGCGGGGAGAGGAAGGGATGCGGGGAGCGGTGAGAGTTATTGTACTTTGGTGAAACGTGCTTAACACAGATGAGCGGGATGGCGGGGGGAGAAGGAGGAAGAGGAAGGAAGGTACGAGGGAGGGACGGGAGCGGAGGAATGGGCAGGTACGGGGCCATTGCATGAGGGTGGGCAAGTGAGAGTGGGAGTGGTTCTCTCAGCACGCCTAAGAACTACCTTAGTGCTCTTACCGAGTCTTTAAGGACGTATAGTAGCTCTTCTGGAGGGTAGCTTTCACACAGCGGAACCGCCACTCCGCCCGCCGCCCACGCCGCCCACATCGCCGCCACATAGTCCGTCCCCGGCCGCCCAAAAATCGCAATCCGAGGGCCTTCCGCCGCCTCCGCCGCCTCCCCCTCCAGCTGCTGCAGCTCCGTGCGCGCCTCTGCTTCCGCGCGCCCCTGCTTCTCCGCGTCGACACGTGGCAGGCGCTTCCGGAACTCGCGCGCGAGCCGGGCGGCGTGCGCGAGGAGGTCGCGGTACGACGTTGTGCGCCCGCCGCAAACCACGGCGGGGGCGGACAGATGGTCGAAGGCGGACGCGGGGAAGCTCCGCGGAAGCGCGGGCGCGCGGTGCAAGGGGCGCGGGGAGTGCGCGTAGAGGTGCGGATGATTGGAATGGTTTTCCGGGTCGTGGTGCCGGTCGCGGTGCCTACTATAGTACTCCGTACTATGTCTACTATTATAGTATTGACGGCGCTGGGGGTAAGAGTAGAGATGGTCGTTAAAAGTAGAGTCACAGGACTGCTCCTTAGCGCGGCTCGTAAAATTAGTAGCACCATCGAAAGTGGAATGAAGGCGCCAAGAGGATTGCCTCGAAATGCGATCTCCGGTACTACCGGCGCCGGTGGCGGAGGCAGCATAAGCGGCGGCTCTAAGCAAACGAGCTAGAGCGTTTCCTCCGGCGTTTCCTCCGGCGTTTCCTCCGGGATAACTATCGGATATGAAACTGCTGGTGGCAACGTCGGAGAAACAATTGGTACCTGAATTCGTCAGAGAACCAAGCGAGTCGTTGACGGGACGGACGATGGTCTGGATACAGAAGGAAAATACTCGTGGGTCGGTTCGCAAACGGTTTCGCAAACCCGCGAGAGCACGGTTTCGGCCGTTAATAAGGCTCATTTTGGTTGGGTACTTTTGACGAGCTTACTCGTTTTCAGCCTTGATAGCTAGACTCGACTTGAGTGCAAGGAGGAAGGTGTCAAGGCTTGGAGACACCGGCCTAATGCTTGCATTGGACAAGCCACGACGCTTTTGAGAGACAGAGAGATAAGAAAGGTTTGAAGCTAAGCCGCTAGAAGAAAAAGTCGAAATAAGGCCTATTCTGCCATCGAGTTCACGGCGGCTGAAGGAGACCCTGCGAAAGATGGATGTTTCGCCAAAGCATCAGCAGATTCCTCATAAGGATCACGAATTCACGATGAAGAGAAAAGTAACCATATTATGAAAAGACTCTGTTGACTTTCGCTCGGAGCGTCGGAGGAGCTGCAACTGGTGTTCGCGAAAGCAGGGGAAACGAATTATTTCGTTGCGACGACGTAGGATGCTGTGCAGAATCGACTCCTATTGGACAACGACTGGATGCTGCCCATCGCATGTTGCGCTTATCATGGCACTCGTTGGTGCGTGGAGAGCGTGGTTTGTGGAGATTTGTTGTCACGTCAGCAGCTTAGGGCCAATCAGACAGGGCCTGTACTTCAAAGCCCAAGGTAAGCACGTGCAAGAATCTCAACAAAGCAGAACGGCAGAGAAGTCATCAATTCTGTTGTGAAAATAATCACCAATTCTGCCAAGCACAATGTAAGGATTTTTCCTTTATCCTTAAAACCAGGGTGCACATTCAACGCGGTTCGGCTTGAGATGTTGGGAAGGGGGTTAGGAGAAAAACAGTGATTGGCTCACGAGGGGCGACAAAAAAATGATTCCGCTAGAGCTTCGGGCATTTCGTAGGTGGCGGGAGGGGGTGAAATGGCGGGAGTGGGTGAAACAGAATGGCGGGAGGGATGAAACAGATTGGCGGGAGGGGGGGGAAACGAAATTGCGGGGGAGGGGGGAAACAAAATTGCGGGGGAGGGGGGAAACGAATTTCGACGGGGAGGGGGAAATGAAATTGCGGGGGCGTGGGGAAACGAAATTGTGGGGGAGGGGGGAAACGAATTTCGACTTGAAGGGGTTGAAAGCACACCTCGTAACCCACTCAGTCAAGGGATAACCTTTGATGCACATTCAGCTGAATGTGCACCCCGGTTTTAACGGGGTTGACTGCTACGCGTACAACCCCGATTTTCAGACTTGCACGTTCGGCCGACATCAACGATGCCGAGGCTCCTCCGCGTCGCCTTCGGCTTTCCGTCGCCAAACCTGCACCCAACCTCGTTTCCCGAGGTTCCCTCCTAGCTAGGGTATTCACTATATAGTCGCGTGCCTTCATTGTAATCGACAGTTCATTAAGTCACAGCTTCGTTAGTCGTTATTCCGCGCACTCTCCATTACAACTCATAACACCTGGCATCAGAGCTACTTTCCTAGTTCACCCCGCTTTTCGAGGGTAGTTTGGTGGCACGGGTTGGCTTGGTAAAGAGGACTGCAAAACGGTTGGCTGCAAGGTTAGTTAACTCTAACCTGCCCGACTCCGATTGTTTTTTCTTTCCTCTTGCCTGCAAGGCCACGGATACCCCTCTGCCCACCAAACGAAGCGTGCGACTCATGGACCAGGACCAGGAAGCGTTGAACAAGATGATGGCGCAAATGCAGGAGTTACAAGCAACAGTGCAGAATCTTTCGGCAGAAGTGACAACAATACGTGTGGAAAACACCGAGCTACGCCAGACGCGAGGTGAAACGCGTCAGGAGTCGCCCGATGAAGAAGGTGAAGGCAACAGTCAAGCGATGAGCAATCCTTTGGACGCGCTCACACGTGGCTTCGAAGAGGAAGACATGCAGCGAGCGGCAACGACGCCAGTTGCAGTTACGACGATCAAGATTAAACCTGCGAACCCGCCCCAGTTCAATCCCACGGACAAGACGACTACATTGAAGGGGTGGCTGTTCAGCATTGAAGTCTTCTTCACTGCAGCGAACGTCTACGACGATGCCACGCGTATTAATTACGCGGTTTCTTTACTTCGAGGCGCAGCGCTTGAATGGCGGCGCCATACCTTGGACACAGGGACTCCGACAGGTGTGACACATGCGGCAGATGGGACCTTGACATCGGCTAATCAAGGGGCAACCTCAATCTTCGGAGTGACCAAGATACGCACGTGGAAGGAGTGAGGCGCAGCCTTACGGGATCGCTTTGAGCACGTATCTGTTTCGGAGCAAGCTCGCATGAAGCTGCGTAACTGGTCGCAGATGGCATCTGTTCAAGACTACACGGCGTCGTTTATGGCCTTTGCTGACCAAGTGGACGACATGGCGGAAGCAGAGCGGTTAGATAAATGAGAAAAGGAGAAAGCGAATGGATGAACTATGAATGAAGTGAGTACATATAGGAAACCCTAATTGGGTTGTACCCCCTATGGGATACCCCACTATAGCCTACACAACAGCATAAGCTATATGTATGTTCTGACACACCCCCATAGGCAAAGTGGGGGAGAACAAGGGGTCACAAGACCAGTCACACAAAGCACAGCAAGCTCAGGGTGGATCACAAAGTCACCACACAGTCCGAGCACAACGACAAGGCCACAAGGCCAGTTCACATGCAGGAGTGCACACATATATATATAGAGCTAGACAAGCAAGAGCAGGTATATATATGTGACAGTACAAGCAAGGTCAAGAGGAGAGCAAGTGAGGCAAGACAGGTACAAGACCCAGCTGAGTGCAGAAGCGCTGATGGTCACAAGGCGCAAGTGCCTTGGTGAACACATCAGCAGTGTTGGCCTGAGAGGCCACGTACGCAAGTCGCAACTGACCACGCTGCTGCAGCTCACGAGCAAGAAAGTAACGGAGAGCAATGTGCTTCGTTCTGTGCTCCAAGCGCTGCTCTCGACACAAGGCCAGCATGGCCTTGTTGTCTACGTACAGCACTGGAGGAGAACGAGGCGGCTCTCCAAGGTCAGTCAGCAGGTAGGTGAGCCAGCGAAGCTCCTGTGCAGCCATGGCCCCGGCATAGATCTCAGCCTCACAACTGGAGCCGAGAACAGAGGACGAGCGTGTAGCCCGCCACGAGACAGAGCCGGAACCAAGACTGAAGGTGTAACCCTGCGACGACCGCTGCGTAGCCTGGTCGTCAGCCCAAGAAGCGTCCGCGTGCCCAGTGAGGACCACTGGACTCCGCCCTCCAAGCACTAGCCCCATGCCCGACGTACTGCACAAGTAGCGCAACACCCTCTTCGCTGCAGCCATGTGCTCTGGTCGGTGTCTCCCAGGAGCAACATAGCGTGCAAGAATGCTAAGAGGGTATGCAAGGTCAGGTCGTGTGCAGGTCATCAGGTACATGAGGCAACCAACAAGCTCTGGGTACGGGCCACTCGACTCTACGGACTCATCCGAAGGCAGAGCTGAGAGCGAGTGGCGAGTAGACAGAGGAGTGGCCTGAGGCGAGGAGTACGTGAAGCCGAAGCGCTGAAGGACCTGCTGCACCATGTGTGACTGAGTCAAGGTAATGGTGCGGCGTGCTCTGTCCCGAGTGATCTGCAAGCCAAGGTAGCTGCGCAGTTCACCCAGGTCTGTGCACGTGTGTCTCTTCTGCAGCTCGGACTTCACGTAGGCTAGTCCAGCAGTGTCAGCTGTGGCAAAGACCAAGTCGTCGACGTACACGAGGATGTAGAACGGCGGCAAAGAAGTGTCGGTGCGCAGAAACAACGACGGGTCAGCAGTAGAGGGAGCAAACCCAAGAGCCGCAAGCGTAGTCCTCAGTGTGTCGTGCCACTCACGCGGTGCCTGGCGGAGACCGTAGACTGGCCGTCGGAGGCTCCACTGGGTGCCAGGAGGGAAAGTCCCAGTGAAGCCAGGTGGACGGCGCAGCCAGATCTCCTCGTGCAGGCTACCCTGCAAGAAAGCAGTGCTGAAGTCAAGAGAGTGGAGCTCGTAGTCGCGCTGAGCGGCTATGTGCAGTAGCACCCGAAGAGTGGTCATCTTCGGGGTGGGAGAGAAGGTCTGAAAGTAGTCAACTCCCTGCCGCTGACTGAAGCCACGAGCGACGTACCGCGCCTTGAAGACAGGTGGAGAGCCCGGCGGCCGCTTCACCCTGAAGATCCACATGCCACTGACGATGTTCGCCCCAGGAGGGGGAACCGCGTCAACGTAGGTGCCTGTGGACTTCCAGGACGCCATCTCTGCATCCATAGCTGCCTGCCACTGAGAGGAGTAGGGACCCTCTACGGCCTCCGCGTAAGAGCGCGGAGTCGGGATGTCTAGTGCATCCGGGTCTCCCTCAGGGGCAAGTAGTACGGACGCGAGATGAGGTGAAGCAGCAGCCAGACACTGGAACTCCTCCTGCCTGTCCTCAAGGACGTCTGTGCCAAGAGCACACTCACCCCCGACGGACGGAGGACAGACAGACGCAGACTCAGCAACAAGACCGGCAGCGTAGTCTAGACGACAGCGAGCAGCAAAGTCGACGAGCTCAGCAACAAGCGCAGACGCAGCAGTGGACTCAAAAGAGGGGTCAGTGACGACAGTAGCAAGGAGACGTGTGGCAGTAGGACTAGCAGCACGAAGAGAGTCGGACTCTGGGTCGGTAAGTGCAGGAAGGGAGGACTCAGGAGGAGAAGGCAAAGGGGCACGCAGAGGAGCAGTGGACGGACGCAAAGACATCCGGTGCGTGCCAGGGACAGGAGGAGGACGCTGACGCGAACCGCGACCACTAGCGCGAGCAGCACGAACAGGCGACGCAGGACGAGACGCAGGC